TGATTTGTATGTCAGCCGGAGGACCGAATGGGGGGCACATGTTTGGCATGCCAAACGCCACAAAGTATGCCGCACTTTTGCTTTGTTTTGTTTGACTATTGAGGTAAGTGTGTTGCTTTCTTCTCGCCGTTATGGCTGTGCTTTTGGCAAATGCAAATGGCATTTTGCAAGGACAAGTAGACCGGCAAAAACATCAGAGAGCTGAGAACTGAGAACTGGGAACAGGGAACAAGGGCAAATTGCATGTAGCGAAACTTTTCCTCATTACGCAGGCGAAAGAAAAACAACGTGCCCGGGCGCTCTCATTTTCCCTTCGGGCAAGTGCTGTATTAAAAATTTAAAATGGCAGGGGAAGCACTGGGAGGGATTACTACCCATTCCCGGACAGGTGGCGTCGCCTATAGATTCCCAAAGATCGTGGAAAACCATCAAAGAGCGCCGCCATTTCCGTATGCAAATTATCTAGCTGAATGGCATTAAGTTTTTGCGGACCAAGGCCGAATGAAAGGCAACCGCTCTCGGTTCTTCCACCGATTTCCCCCCCTGCAAATTTTTTCCACAAATTCGCAAAAGGCTTCTGCCCGAAGTTTTTTACGTGCGCCGTCATAGTTTGTCAGCTACTTTCGTTGGCGGTTTATGCACCTGCATAAATGTTACTTCTACTTACGTAAATTACAAAATAAAGTTATTACGAAAAGTAATTTAAGTTAAAAATTTTCGTGTGCCATCGCAAATGTGCAGCCAACTGGCAACTGGCAACTGGTAACTGGAAGAACCAAAGGTGGGGCGGTAAAATCAGTTAACAAGTTGCGAGCTCTTCCCAGCGGGCTTAATTGTAACTTAAAGCCGTTGCAAATTCGCTTAAGCAAAAGTTGGCATTCGCTGAAAAAGGCAAAACAGAAGTGGGTAAATCAATTTGCATTAAACATTCAAAGGCACCGGGGAAAAAAAAGTGCAGAGAAGAAACACTCATAAAGAATGCAAACTGAGGTTAAAGCCGGAGCGCAAACTTTTAGTTTGCTTTGATTGAGTGAACGTGGCCGAAAGTGTGGGCAGAAAATCCGACATAGCTGGCCACGCTTAATCAATGGCCCAATGGACAAATGGCCACAAAAACAGGAACAGGAACAACACGATCGCCTACCTCTACCAGCAATCGCAATCATGGACACATTCAGTTGCTCTGCCCGACAACACAGGACAACACAGGACAACAAAACCGTAAGCAATTGCCAGTCGCATAATGTCCTGGTCGTCGGAAAATCAAGTTGAAAGTTCCTGGCAACTTGAGGTGCAAGTGTCGTGTTTTTGTCAACGGGCCAACAGCAGCAATTTCCGTTTCCTGTTCGCCGCTGATGGAAAAACGAGTCAACGAGTATAAAAGTTTAGATTACAAATTCACATACGTAACTGTAGTCGTACACTGGTCAGCAGTTGATTTACCGCTCTGTTACTGTTGTTGCCGTACACTCAGAGAAAGGGGGACTTTTTCAGTAACTTTAGTAATACAAAATATATTAAATGTTACTTTAATGTTACATACAATAAGATCTAATCTCGAAAAAGTTGCAGAATTTTAAACATTTTTTTAGAATAAAGTAGTGGAGCAGTCCTTTTCTTCTATATTTATACCCGTTACTGGAGAGGAAAAGGGGAAAATTTATACTAAAAAAAAAAAAAAAAAAAAGAAAAGAAGGCCACCCCCCCAAAAAAAAAAAAATATATATTATCCGCCACCCCCAAAAGCCAAAAAAAAACCCCCCCCCCCCCCCCCCCCCTCTCCCCCCTTCCCTTTTTTTTTTCTTTTTTTTTTTTTTTTCTTTTTTTCTCCTGAAAAACAAAAAAAAAAAAAAAAAAAAAAAAAAATAAAAAATAATTTTTAAAATTAAAAATCAAAAAAAACAACTAAAAAAAATATTTCCAAAACCCCCCACCCCCCCCTTTTTTAATAATAAATAAATTTTTTATTTTTTTTAAAAAAAAAAAAAAAAAAATAAATTATTTTTTATTTTTTTTTTTTTTATTAAAAAAAATTTTAAAAAAATAAAAAAAAATTTTAAAATATTAAAATTTTTAAATTTTTTTTTTTTTTTTTAGAAATTTAATTGTAATTGTAAAATGATCTATTCAATAAGGCAATCAATAAAATTCTGGTAATTTCTAACCTTTTTCTATTTTCCAAATGTTTTTAAGTATTGTAAATTTAAAAGGTCGATAATTATAAAATAAGTTTTTTGACCCATTGATTTTTTGATTTTTTTTTATATTTTTAGCTTCTTAAATCAAAATGTGTGCGTTGTAAGACATATAAAAATCCAAGAAAGGGCGAGATATGTAGTTCTTTAGTATAACATTTTTTCTTGAATGTAATATATTTTTAGTGTAGATTTCCTTTAGTCTTGTTTTCGTTTGCCGTGTTTTCTTTTTTGGCCTGGCTTGTGTTGGCTTGGTTTGGCTTGGTTTTCGTAGCCGGGCGCATGTTTTGTGGTCAACTCGGGGCAATGGCAATGCAATTGGGGCTGCCTGGGCTTCAGATGCTCCTCCAGCTGCTCCGGCTGCTGTACTTTTTGCCATTGCCACTCATGCGTGCCACGTGCTATGCTTTGATGTGGTGCTCCACGCCCATGCCCATGCCTCCGCCGCCTTCAGTAACCTGCTCCTAAATAAACTTGGAATAATAAGAGGCAAAAAAGAAAACGAATTGCCACACAAGCTCGCCTCAAATGTTACTTCTGCATTTGGGCAAATTGGACTCGGCAAAAGCCGCATGGAGACACGAAACTTTGTAAATATTTTATGCATAAACACATACCACCTGGAAATGGCTTTCGACACAGCATCAAATAATATTTGCTTGGCCAACACAGACACACACTCACACACACACACACACATTGGCTCGGTTCATTAGGCCCAGAGAGCAAGTTGGGCCACAAAACTTGCAGATCAAGTCCGGATTGCGGCAGCTCAATGAATTTACCAACGATTGGACATCCCAAGGAGAAGGAGGTTCGAGTCGAGAAAAGGATGCGGATCAGCTGTCGCAGCGGAAAGTCGTCCATAAATAAAGCAGCCTAATCAACACAGCCATTGGCAGCATTATTGTCACGTATTATTTTACATTTGTCTACGTTTGGCTTTCTCCCATTTTTTTCCTTTGTATTTTCCCCATTTTTCTGCCATTGTCCTTTCCTGGCAAGTGCATCCATAAATTGTGAGCTCCGTTCGGGCATCCTTTTTATTTATTTACTCCGTGTAAGTGGAGTTCACTTTGCAGTGCAATGCGCTGAGTGCAGGCTTCTCGCTGTCTCATTCTCTTCGAATTCCCCGTCTCTGTCTCAGTCTGGGTTGTTTCTTGGCATCATCGTCTCAATCATGACTGAATTCTCCGGCTATTTTCCCCCCGATCGATATACTCTTGTACCTGACTGAGTCGAATTTTCGCTTCAATTTGAATTCTGCAAAAATTCAATAAGCCATGCTGCCATAAGCTGGAATAAAAATAACTTGGGCACAATTTTAAAATGTTGTTCCCTTTTCAAGTTAAAAAACATTTAACTCTAGGAATATAAAAATGAGTGTGGTTTATTATTTTAAATAGTAATGGTTCCAAATTATAAAATAAGATTTGCTTGATAAAATATTGAAATCACTTTATGAATAATTTTTTGTAATCTTTTAAGCCAATTTAGAGCGTCTTCTGGGTCTTTTGAGTTTTAAAGGAATATATAAGGAGGCCTTTGTTGGGTGTTCCTATTTCAAAGTTCTTGGCTTTGGTGCTGCCTTATGCTAATTTTCGCTGGCAGCTTAATCATGCATGTTTACACGCAAGTTCGAGTGCCAAACTCAAACACCCAGGGTTAACAACAGCAAAGTAAATGAATTGCACGCGCGAAGGAAGGTGGTCCCCTCTTCCTCTCTTCCCCTCTTCCATTGTTATTTGCATACCCGGGGGCGTGGCAGGGCATTCGTAACCCGTTCCAGGCTGTTAATCAACGAGAGCCTGCCTGAAGTCAAACATTTAACTAAAATAAGTTTGTTTGGCAAGAATTTTTGCATAAATAATTACCAATGCGAGAGGCTTAGACGGCAGTGATCATGAACTGGCTAAAGCCTATGTTATCTGATTCGGATTCGTAATTGGGAGTATTTTGTTAAAGGTAATCTGAAATATTCGGTTACAAGTAGAAATGAAAAATATATATTTTTTAATTTATAGGCAGATGGATTATTTTTTGGTGCTGCTCAGAATTATTTTCTCTATTTAAATCATCTGCGAGGGTATAAAGAATTCTTAAGATTAAAATGTATCATTCGTAAACAGAGTTTTTTCTTGAGTTTTCCATTTACCTCCGACACTCTTGTTATTAGACTCTTGTTTGTTTACTTTTTGTTTCATGTTCACTGACTCGTTACTTGTTCTTAATTTCTTGCTGTTATGCAAATGTGCCCACTTTTATGCCATTAGCCTTGCCTTTGAAATGAGTTAAATGACCGGCAGGCAACACATTTATTCTCAGATTTGTTGATTAATTCCAAAAAATATTGTTTTCTTTGCTTATAATTCTGTAATAATCTATATATGGCGTATAAATTAATTCCGTAACACTTCCATGCGTTAGACGTTTATATGTACCTTTTTCTTATTTAGAAGTTCCAATGTCCAAAATTTGTAAAGCAATAAACGCTTTTTACTTGAACACAATGATGTCTAATTAAATATAGGAACAAATATTTTGGATTTGCTATTATCCTAAAGTCAAATAATTTTTGTTTATTTAAATACTCATAACTTTCGATTACAAAAGTAATGGGTTTTTAATGAGGGAGATACACATAAAAGGGCATTTACTTATTAATTTTTTACCAGTACGAGTTTTTCAGCGATTGCAATGTGTCGGGAAAAGTGTGTGAGCATTTCTCTAATCCTGCTCTTCTTCATGATCCCTGAAGTGGGTATATATAAGTGATATCTTAGCCAAAATAGCTTTGCTAATAAAATGTATCTAAAGGCATACTCGACTTTTGAGTTTACAAATGTTATATGCACTTCCATGGAGGAATCATTTTCAACATTCGAGTATTGCTATCTGAAGTCCGTAAATCGAACATACAAATATGGATCCTTGAAAGTAAAACTTCTCAAGTTGCCTATTCACAAAATTAAAGTATGCAAGGTATTTTTATAAAAGCGATGGAGACTCACCCAAAATCTAAATTGCAGGTAAATTTTGCGTTGTATCAACGATTAAACGGATATAAGCCATTCCTTTACAACGTCTCTGTGGATGCGTGCAAATTCTTGTTAAATCAAAAATCTTCTCCAGTGACGGCGTTTATTTTCAATCTTTTCGCTCCCTATTCCAACATGAATCACAGGTGTCCCTTTGACGTAAGTATTTTTTCAGACACTTTGAGCTATTTTAAAGAATCATCTTTCAGCATGACATCATTGTGGACAAAGTGCCTTATTCTTATATAAACTACCAATTGACAAAAATATTGCCATTTCCGGAAGGTGACTATGGATTCTATAGCATTTGGTATGCAGATGGAATAAAACGCGCAACCGTAAATGTCTACGGCACACTATCGTACCGTAATACTAGAAGAATTCCAAAATAGTCTGAAAATAATCTTTTTATAAAATGTCAAAAATCAGAAAATTTTCCTTCCCATTTTTTCCATTTCCAATCGCCTTAAATCTCGGAAAGACTAAATGGATATTGTAATTGGACATTCAACTTCGCAATAAATAAAACAAGAGAGAACGCTATAGTCGGGTGCCCCGACTATCAGATACCCGTTACTCAGGTAAAGGGAGTGCGAGGGAGATGGAGATAGAAACTTTGATCACAAATAACTTTTTAACGAATGGTCCGATTTGAAAAATTTCTTCTACATTTCGATAGGTATTGATAAACACAATAAAACTGCATTTTTACTTTTCCGAAATATTTAAATTTTTAAAATCGTATATAAGCGATTGTGGGCGTTAAGGGGGGCGTGGCACCATTTTGAAACAAACTTGCGCTGCGTAAGAACTTCTAAAATCTACATGCAAAATGCCAATCTTCTAGCTTTTATAGTTTCCGAGATCTTAGCGTTCATACGGACAGACAGACAGACGGACAGACGGACAGACGGACATGGCTAGATCGACTCGGCTAGTGATCCTGATCAAGAATATATATACTTTATAGGGTCGGAAACGCTTCCTTCTAGCTGTTACATACTTTTGCACGAATACAATATACCCTTTTACTCTACGAGTAACGGGTATAAAAAGCTGTTGAAAGGCAACATTCCATTCGAAATTGACTCTAGACCAAGTTTAATGCCAAATTTGTATCTCACAATAATCCAAAACTAATATTAATTTACTAGAGTGACTATGAACCTTAAAGCTAAATGACATTAATATGTATGTCTAATAGCGTAAACACAAAGCGTTTAAATAGCGTAAGGTAAATGCTTTTTAATTTAGGTTTATCAAATACTGTAATAACCGTAAATCAAAACCGATTTATATTGTATACATCAGATATTTTAAAATACCTGAAGTTTAAAATCCATTAAAAAATCGTTATTGTTTAATTGGTTTGCCCAATCTGGAATCGCGGTAATTAGAGCAACTGGCCGAGGGGAAGACTTCAAGGGCCTGCAGTGCCTCAACGGTCGCCGACTGCAGCTAGAAGGCTCAAATGGAGAATGTCCCGACAATGTAGAACACCATCCATCAAATGTCAATTGTATGCCAACTGCCAACAAATCAAGCTGTCATGGGGCAATGGCAAAAGGCAGTCGACGAGCCAGTGGACCGTTCAACCAGAGCAAAGTATTTCTGGAGCTCCGCTCTATATTTAAAATTATGCCACTAAAGCAGGCTGTGCACTGTAAAACAAACCAGACTCTATAAACTAAATATCGGTAAAAAAAATACTATTTTACCAACGGCGTTTCACCAAAACGCCGTGCTTTGAATTTATTATTTTTTATTTATTTTAGATGATAGTAATGTTTACAAAACTAAGACTAACATATGGGGGTGTAGTGCTAGCGGCGGGGCTTTTATTATTAATTTTAATAAATTAAATGTATAATTAAAAAATTCTTATTACTTAAAAGGCAAAATGTGTTTTTTAAAAACTATTTTTTATTAACTTTATTCATTCTCTAAAAGTAAAATATAGAAACCATATTTATAATGAAATTGCTTAGGGGCAGCACTCAAGCTTGAATACTAAAGTCAATTTGCTGCTTTTTTTAAAGTTTTGCTGGTTACATTTTTTCTCAGTGTGCCCGAGAGGCAGCTGGTGTTCCCTGTATATGCTGCATCCATCCATCTATCCAGCGTCTCGTTGCAGCTGTCAGCGCTCTATTCTGCAGTTCATCATCATTGTCATTGACATTTTCGAGTGGCTACAATGGCTGAACAGAGGAAAACGCGGCGGCGGGGCGCACTGATTTGCATTGCTTTCGATTTATTTGTGCCTGAAAGATTTATGCGACTGGGGGAGTCCTGGCAAACTGCCACACACCCTATACTCCTATATCGTGCCCATTTCGGGGATGTGAGAGTATATGGCCGTGCAGTAGGCGACCACCAGACGCGTCTCGTTCGAGGGAAAGATGGGACCCAGGAACTCGAGCAGGCTCGGCTGTTGCAACACGATCGATCTGTACTCCTCAAATGAGACAATGCCATCCTGGTCTTCATCAAATTTGAGGAGTAAAAACTCGACCATGTCCTGAATGGGCAAACGGCAATCTGATAATAAAGTGTAGGTATTAACAAAATGCAGCTCACCAGTCGCATCTCGAGTACCTCGTCATCGTCCCCTGGGAAAAATCTCTCGACCGAAGATGAAATTATCTCTCGATTGATGCCCATTCCATTTTTATCGTACACCTATTCGAAATTAATGAGAAAAACCAAACATTTTAGTAAGATTTATTTATATAATAATACACAAAGATTTTCAAGAATGATAATTGAAATTAAATTGGGTGATTTGACACTTTTTAGAATAACTCAATACATGTTTAAAAAATAAATAACTAATACATTTTAAAGCTTATTTATTTTCTTTTTTTACCCTTTCAGAGGGTCGATATTTTCGTCATTTTGAAAAATAGCGTTGCAGAAAAGTGGTCAAAAAGTGCACTTCTAAGCCAATAACTTTTCTTGCATACATCCGATTTCAAAGTAGCACACATTTAAATAATTGTGGTTCAATTCTTTAAAAATTTGCGTTTAAATCTTGGTTTGTATTTTTTGGTCGATTTTTAGTAATTTTTAATTTTAAAAAAAATGGTCTTGCAGAAAAGTGTCCGATTTAAAGTGGCATACTTCTAAATGAGTTTAGTAGTTTAATTCTCTAAATCTGCTTTTAAAAATTAGCTTGTATTTTTGTATACGCTTAATTTAACTCAAAAGCTTGTCACGCATCGTATTGTTGTAACAGATGCAATGCATTCTTTCTTGTTCTTAAATACAATTTTAAGTCCGTTCAGATTGATGAATGCGTTAAATGGCATTATTTAACTACCGATTGCAAGCCCATTACCATGTATGCAAACTCCATCTTGCGCTCCATGTCCCGGCTCATAAGGATGGTCATGTAGTGGACGAACTCCAAGGGCGTCACGTGCTTCCTGCCCCCCGCGATCAGGGTCACGATGCGATCCACCACATCCATGTCGTAGAGCTGCTGGAACCCAATTACGATGTTGACCAACTGGGTTGAGGTAATCCGGCGTGCGGAGGGCCCGTTCTGGAGGCTGTACTTGTAGTAGATCAGCAGGATGCAGGTGACCTCCGAGTCGTTGAAGGGCACCAGCCGGGCGATCTGGGGCACCAGTCCACTATATACCGACTGGAACCGCAGGTTGTGGCGATCGTTCATCGTGAGGTCTAACTTCATTTTTACTGGCTGCAAAATTAACTAACCGAAACGCAATATGTGCTAAAAATATCTTAAACTTGTGTTAACGCAAAAAACTCAACTTTCAATAATAATAATATAACTCCAAACTAACTGATACTAAATGAAAAGATCACTTTTAAAATTCAGTTATCAATGGACATCTTTAAATCTTTACTTTAACTTTTTACAAGGGGAAACTTAGGTAAGGTAAGTCAAGGTAATCTAAATGTTTTCCTTTGGCAAGGAATTCCAGGAAAAATTAAAATTGATATGGGCTAATAATTGAGTTTAGAGGAGGAGTTTCCGTGAAACCATTTAAATTTCGGCTGCAGGAAATTGATGCCATTACGCTCTTGTCTGGCATTTTAGTGCACTCACCGGAAGTCGCTGGGGGCGTCGATTTATTTAAAGAAAAAATCAAAGAGCAGAAAAGCGAAAGTGGAGTGTAGAGTGGGCGGGTGGGGGAGTGGGAGGACACTTTTCCGGGCAGACGCATACATCAAACTGCCAGACAGACGACGGCGGCCCACAACATGCATATCAGTCAATTTATCTCCAATTGTGTGTGTGTGTAAAAAAATTACGCAATTTATACGCTTGGTCCATGGGTGTGTGCCTGCGGACCCATTGAACTTTTCCAGGGAAATCTACATATTGATAAATGACCCCAGCAGCCAGCGAGGCTGAAAAATCGATGGACGACCGGCACTTGACATTTAAAGCGCCACGGCGAATTTATGCGAATTTATATTGCCTTTGGCTGCTGGGCCTGTCTTTGATTTCATTTAATCAGATGTCGATAATTGCAAAGTCCTACCCCGAAAACTGGGTCACATTACTGGCTGGCATGGGTTTAACAAACTTAAAGTAAACTTTATTATGCACAGGCGACAGATGGAATGACCAACTGCGCGAGTGCAACTGGCCGTGTCGTGGAAAAACTTCATCAAAATGCAGCCTCCGCTTCGTGGGGCGGTGGAAAATGGCGGAAAATCGTCGAACGACAGCGGTAGCAAAGTGTAAAATAATTACTCGGCTTTTTCTGCATTACTTGCCCGCTTTTTGACGCACTGTTTCAAGTAATTAATTGAATAAGCGCCTTGGCCCGCAATTGTATTAAATTGCCCGCTGCATTCCCACTGATTGACTTTCTGTCTCTGCGCCAATAATTATTCAAAGTGGCAGTGCATGGAGCTCCTGCTGAGAGTGCCTTGCAACACAATTTAAGGTCCGGATTTAATTGATTTGACTTCAATTTGTCATCGAATTCACTGGGAAAAGTTATGGATCTTGGATGAAAATATCATGAATTAATATTGATTATTTAAATTAAAATCCAAATATACATAAAAGTATTAATATTTCGACCTCTATTTTGTTATATATCTTAGGAAAAATAAATAAATGTTTTTGCAATGATTAAGATCACGATATGCTTTATTAAAATGACACTTTTTCTCGCAGTTCACGCGAAGATACCTTATTTAATGAGATGACAGCATCAATATCGGAGAAAATTAAACAAAGAAAAGTCTTTCTCAGACTTCAAAATAATTACCTTACTTACCATCTACATATATTTCATAGCCTTGGCTTCTGGGCGAAAATGTTTTGTAGCAGTTTGGATGTTTGTGTTTTTAAGTATTTGGCTTGTATAACCTTCTCCCTTCCATAAAACATCGGGGAAAACTTGCAAAGTAGTTGCCAACTTTTATTGCCTGGCCAGTGCTTGTCGACATGGGCCTTTGGAAATGGAGGAAATGGGTGATCATTCTACTTTTCTTTTGATGACCATCAAAAATACATGGCTTGCTGTGCATCTCGGCAAACATGGCCTTTTCATTGCATAATTGCACTGGCAAAGTTTGCGGGCAACATCTATGTAAATGGGAAATGGGGCTGGAAAATAGGGAAAAAATCAGATTCGGTAAGCGCTGCGTGAATAATTGTCTGTTGCCACATAGCTGTGAAATAATTTGCAACCAAACGGAAAAAGCCGCACGGCAGCACACACGAAATTATAACATTTAATTTTTAATTATGAGTGTTATTAACATGCCTGAAACTTTTCGCCACAGACACACGGCAACCAAGGCAACTACGAATTAAATGGGAGAATAAAAAACCGCAGGGAGATAGACGAAAGGGCGTGGGGCAGAGATACACACGTGAATACGTGAATGTAATTATTTTGCATTTTTAAAGAGCCACAACTCATGTACGGCGTAGCCCTCGAATGCCGTTTGCCACCTAATTATCTTGACTAATTGCAAGGCAACAAAAGCCACGGCCGCTGCCTTAATAATATCACACTTTAGTCAACCCAATGGTCACCTTGAATGGGTTTCAACTTTATTATAAAATAATAAAGGCACCCGGGCGGTAAGGGGATTATGTTGGGGCTTTCGGAAAGCAAACAAAGGATACGCCAAACAATGAAATATTTGTTGAGGATGAGCAACTTTAATAAATGTTTTTTGAGGAAAATGATAATCAAAATATAATTGGAATAGTCAAAAGGATTTTTAAGCTCAAAATGTTAGTAATAGTTTATACATTTAAAATAATTTTTGGGTTTAGTGTTTTTTATCTTATAATACATATTATTTTGGATACATATGTTGGTACTTGCGAAAAAATTGGTGCATTTATTTACACACTTTAATTGAAAGTATAATATTTAAGTTTAATTCTTAATAATAGTTTAAACATTTAAAATACTTTTTAAGTTTAATGCTTTTTATCATATAACACATATTATTTTGTATATATGTTGGTGATAGGAAAGTGCCTCAATTTTTTGTTATTAGATCTCAGACCTACAAAGATTTAACAGTTCTGTAAGGCGGGCATTAAACTATATTTCCACCTGGTTGGTGAAATAAATCGAGGAATTATTTTGCATTTATATGCAACAACAAGCGATAAATATGATCGTGCTCCATTTGGGTGTGTTTATGTAGTGAAAAAAACCATGCCTGGCAGTTGGTCCCTGATTTATGGCCGGAGTTGAACTCGGGTCGTGTCACTTACAAGTCGAACAGCAGCTGTTGGTGCCGCTGCTGCTGCAGTGTTGCTGTGGGGATGCAATTTCAGTTGCAGTTGCAGCTGCAACTGGAATCGGGGCTGCATCTGTATCTGCGGTCGCATTGGCTTTGTTTCCTGGCCACGTTCATTATTCATCAATAGTTTTTTGGCCGCACCGTTTTAATGTAAAGTGCGCCGGCTTTTTGTGCATGTTTATTTAAGCGCTTGTACTGCAGGTGTTGATGCAATATTAATGGCATTTTAAATGCCGCAAATGCCGGCTTGCGTAGAAAGTCTTTTTGATATTTTTCACCAATTAATTTGCAGTTTAATTTTTAATTATATTATTGCCGACAGCGAGTGGCTTTTGTAACACGAACATTGCACATTTCATATGCAAGTTTTGCGCCAAATTTATTGTAATTTACTTAAGAGCCATTCCCCAAACAGAACAGATTCGAACAGCCCGCGAGTGTATGGTATAAATGCAATTTGCTTGTTATGTGTATTTTTAATGGCACGTAAATAAATTGCTGCCGCGCCATATTAAGCCCGATGCAGCAAACCCAATTAACATTGGCTCAAATAGCTTGTCGATGCCACTGCCAATGAGTTGGACCAACTTTAAGCGGCCGACCTCTGCTGGCAAATTGACGGCAAACTATTTACCGATTCTCTGGTGACTCGTTAGCTGTTTCTGCCTGTTGGTTACGGGGCGTATGCGCAATGTGGCTGTGCTCACTTCCCAATCATCATTGCGGGGGCCTAATATCGCCCTGGTGTGACGTTTGTCTAGCAATCATCATTACAGACATTAAAATGCCCGAAGGCCCAATTTCTTTGCAGTTAATTTGTTGAGAAATTCCCTAAATTCAAATGGCTTAGTGGACACTGACTTGTTGGGCTCCAAAGAAATTTAAATAATTTCTAAATCATCTCATCATGAAGTTTTCGGTAAAGTATTTACTTAAATTATATTACAAGTTATTATTTACATAAAGGAATGCATTTAGGCAATTTAAGACATTGATTTTAAATAACAAGAATCTTTCAAGTCAAACATTAAAAAAATTCTGTATTTCCACAGTTCTTCGGTTTGGCTTTCACTGTACGAAAAGGGTGAAGTATCACGTTAAATGTAAATGCAAAAGTGTGTTGCTTATTTTCTTATCCTCTAGGAATCTTGTATAAAAATGTGAGGAGTTCCTTCCTTAAAACATATCTGCCCAAACTGCAGGCATCCAATTCAGTGGCTTAATCAATTTACTCGCACTGCAATCTGAAGCAATCGCCGGGAGATGGGTTTTCAAGCTGGACTCCCTTGTCCCGGCTTGTCTTGTAATTCACTTGGGCTAATTAGATGCAGCGACTGTCGCCGCCCACCAAGGACACGCCCACAACGAAGTTACAAGCGGGCTTCATTTGCATACATTTTGAATGCAACTTGTGAAGGCCGTCACATTGTGTCGGACATGTTGGGTTCCCTCAAATTTCAAATTTGTCGCCGCTCATGACAAATACAGAGCCAACACTTGGTCCATAATTTAATTTAAATGTTAATTCGTTTATCGCGTTTTGTCAAGCCGGCGCTGTCTTTGTCGTAATTGCCAATCAGCTGACCGGACCATGCCCCTTTTTTTCACCCCTTGAATGGTGAAAAAGTCAATTAGTCTTTATTAAGCTGCAGGGCGCTGAGTCGACGTACCAGTAATGCAAATACTGTGTCTTTTGGCCCCATAAAAATGCAGCGCACAGATACGCGAGATTCGGATACAGATACAGATACAGATTCAGATACAGATACAGATGATACGGCACGGCGTTAATAATAAGCAACATTCACAAACAACAAAAGGCAATTTTAATGAAATAACCATGTGCGTGGGGGCTGGATCTCCTGGCCGAGTTCACTAACAGCGTGCGTGTACAAGATGGAATCATTAAAGGAAATGAGTTTTTTCCCCATCGGGTTATGACAAAAAATGCGTTAAAATAAATTATTTTAATGTAGTTCTCATGTCAGTTGTGTGTTTGAGAACCCCTCCATTCCAC